CACCAAAATCGAGACGAGCACTCAGAATTCAGTAGAAATTTCGTTTTATTTTTTGATAAAGATATATGAAAAATTAATAAACCCGCTTGTGGGTATATGTTTGCATTTAAAATAATTTCTACTTAGAATTTCCCTCAAATTTCCCTCAGCTTAACATAATTTTAGTTATCAGTCAGGTCTCATTTGGGTTGCATTTGGGTAAAGGTAAAATCCAAACAGAATTATAATAACTAATAGTTAGAGGTAATTTAGGATGACATGATCCTTCCCGTTGAGTTGCGCAGTGACGAAACTTTGCTCGTTCATTAATTTCCATGTTTCTACCTGTTAAAAACATCTAAAGATCCTTCTGTATCCCTGGCACAATATAAAGATTCTATACAGTAGATTCACTCCTTTTATCTGCCTAAATTACCGATATTTTTTGATGCTCATCATAAATTAACTTATGTCCACTAAACTGCCTTATACGAGGACGGTTCAAAGTCCAAAGTCTTTAGATACAAAATGTATTTGTACTTTGTTTTCATAATAACACTGCATACAAGCCAGTCCCTGTTTAACGGGGAGCTCGTAGATGAAATGGTGGAGCATCGGCATGAGAGGGATGTATGGGTGGAAAGTGAAGCTACTGTACAGAATCTTTATGCTGTGTCCCTGGTTGCATAGCGAAGCACATGATTTGACTCAGTGAAATAACAGACGAGTCAATGTTTTCGAAAGGTACATCCAGAAGGTCAGCATCTGAAGATTCATGTCATCCTAAACTACCCATAACAATATCAAATACTGTAAAATTAATAATATATGATTGATACTTCTTATTAATTTATTTTTAGTAGTTCTTTTTTCTGCTCATATGTTTTTACGTAAAACACATTTTTCCGAAACTTTGTTTTTGAAAAATGATCGTGTTGGATATTAATAAATTTTCAAGAAATGAATCTGATGATAGTGCAGGTCTCGCGGAAATCTTTCTTCATGTAAATTTTTCCAATTCACTAGTCTCTTTTCGTTTAATTAAATGAAGAGCATGGGATTAAAACGGTAAATAGTTTTACATAATATTTTGTGCTGGAACGGAATACTGCTGATGGGAAGGAGAAGCGGGATTGGACAAACCGCTTTCTCGTATTGGTGATAAAGCCGGACTCTTGGGCCTCAGAGTAAAACTTCTTCTACGTCGTCGATATTGCGGAAGATGACGTCGTATACTCGTTCTTTGTAACTGCTGCTGTTGCTGCTGAAGAACCCCAAGAGCATCAGCTAATTCCGTTTCACTAATAATGCGCCTTCGAGGTAGAGGTGGCAACGCTGATGACGGCTGTGTTTTTTTAGTATTTTCAGACCCTGGATAGGACGGTATCTGAAAAACGAAAATTGTAGTAGTTAGTTTTATTTAAACTGTTATTCAAAAATTGTCGTCTGAAGAAATGGTACAATTATTAATCGATTATTATTTTCAGTTTTTAAAAATAATTGATTAATGAGAATAATTTGTGATGCCGATTAATAGATTATTCCGATTGATGTATTAATCCGATTAATTGATTAATTCGATTAATTCAAATTAATAAATAAATAAAATAAATTGCTGCTGTCAAATCCTCGCCGGGAATCGAACCCGGGATCTTTGGCTTTACCTACGAAAGGTGACAGCAGTTGAAGCAACATCATTTGTCACCTCTCATAGCTTAGTGATCAGACCATTGGTGCGTAAAACCAGAGATCTCGAGTTCGATTCCCGACGAGGGTGTAACAGCAGCAACAACTTTTCCTCATTAATTTGAGGTAAATTGTAGTGCATAAAAATTAAACGAAAGTTGTTGTGTCCGTTTGGCTTTTGTTACATATCTTGCTTATCAATAAATGGAAATACTTCCACATACCATCTTGTACAGCATTTTTTTAAAAGTGCTTTCAAGTAAGGGCAAGGTGTTTGAAACATAGGGAGGGCAGGTGAAAAATCGATTTTTAAAAAACAAGCAATGACAGCCTGCTCCATAAGACATTAAAGTTTGTGTACAACAGCAATAAGTAGTCAAAACGTTAAGATAACTAGCAAAAGAATATAGGTAGGTAAGAAGACTATTTAGACACGAAAAAGTTCATACAAAAAAGGCTTTTCAAAACGGTTAGGGAATACAAAACGAATAAAATAACTTATCGCTTAAAAATTAGTATATAGATATGTTACCGGAAATGTATGAAATCCGTATATAATTCTTAAAATCTCCCGGAAATGTGTGAAATAAATTATATTAGACACATTTCCTAGGAACTCTATACATTTCCTAAACAGCAATCGGAAATTGTTACAGGTAACATTAAATAGGCAATAATACGGCAGACTGCTTGGAGATGTACCTATATCCATTGGTGACGTAACTGTTTGATTAGGGAGATTTATGAGAGACTGAATGTCTGGAGTTCCTGTAAACTCCTGCCGGGCTGATATGTTAGATGTTAGAATAATGTGATGAGGTTATCTTTGTTTCAGCAAAGACAATGACCTTGAATGTCTACTATATTGTAAAGCTGATAATGCTGATCACTGTTGGGCGCAGAGATCATAATGAAGCATACTTTTCAAAGACATTATTCCAACATTGCAGGGGCATTAAGAGAACTCCAGTTTGTCGTAAATCTACCTAATAACCATGCATAACATCACTAATGCATAATCTCTAAACCTAACCTAACCTAAAAAACGATAACGTCACCAATGCATATACATCAGGCGATTGCACTAGAACCACGTAAACGCAGATAACACTGATTTTCAGTTTACTAACGTGTTTTATTCACAAAGAGCATTAGTTTTATACATTTCCTAGTACAATATCGGAATTTCATATAATTCCTAGGAAATATATAGATTTCCAAGGATATGTGTGTATTAAAAAATCTTTGAGACAATTTTTTATACATTTCCTAAATAGCCTCGGAATTGTACACATTTCCTACATGTCTGGTAACATATAAACATAATGTTTGATGTTTTAAATGTTATCTACCTTCTATATTTAGAGAAGTAAATGAAAATAAGTATTTCAAAATTAAAAAATCAATGTTCGATAACGAATGCTTTCAAGTGAATAATGAAATTACATCAGAAAGTAAATTTTAAGCAAAAGTATCTTCATGAATTAATAAAAAGCTAAGTATCTAATTCGCTTTGAAGGTGCTGTAAATTTGTGTGAAGACAGACAGGCATTTGTATAATAAATAAATCCTAGCACTTGTTCTAATGTTGTTTAGTGTTTTATAAAAGGAAACACCGCCGCTTACGTTTTTATTGTAAAAAGCATTATTTGGACATTCTTGATTTATTTGCTTTTCTCTTTACGGCCACCTTCGTGTTCCACCTACATGAAATATGAAGTTTATGAAAATTTAAACATGATTTCGTGCGAGTATAAATAGGCACAATATCTTCAGACTAATTTGTTAAAAATCGATGCAGGTCGTTGCTCTGCTTTAATACCTATAATTTCCAGTTAGAAGACATAAGCCCTTTGTATTTCTTGCACCTAATTATTTTTAAAAAAATTGTTATATCAGCATTAATCTTAACATACTGACATACCTACTATATGCATTATCAGTATATATTCGATAAATTTACAAAATATATTCGATTTATAAGAAATGAACAATAAAATCGTTCTTTTTAGCCTATAGGTAGGTAGATTTTATTAAACTCAAACTAACAAACAATTGGTTATTGCAAAATAATTTCAAATTTTGAAAATGTGATATGTTATGTATAATGGCTAACATCGTTACTTTATAATCCTTTTCGCGATATTATGTTACTGACAAAAAATTGTGAATTGCAACTAACCATTTACAATTTAACGCATTAATTCTCGATAGTTTATAGTCTACCTAAATCAAATATTAAATTGTAACGGATGTTAAAATTGTACAGATTATGACCCTGCAGGTTTTTTCACAATTTGGCGATTTAACATGGATAGATTACAAACTATCGAGAAATAATATATCAAAATGGAAAAGCTTTGTTAAAATTCACCCTTTTTTGTCAGTAGCATAATATCTCAATGATTATAAGCTAATAATGTTCACAATTATACGATACCTCTGTGCCTAAAAAAGTGTCCTACCAACCTATCTCTCATATTTTTTATTGACTTCCATAGAGTCCTCTGTTCTCCTATTCTTTCCAATACCTCTTCATTTCTAACCTTTTCTACCCACGATATCCTCATCATCCGCCTNGTTCATCGACTTCAAAATAAGATCGTCAATACTAAGACTGATTGAACGAGGTGCGTGTTCAATACATAAAGATATCGACTTGTCAAACTCAATCCGTGGCGTGGCTAATCGTACTAGTGATGTTAAATGTCATTACTTTTCAGTATTTAGGGCACCCGGTGCTTTTTAGAAAAGTAACACGTGCATCAACTTCAAAATAAGGTCATCAATCCTAAGACTGATTGAACACGCACCTCCATTCTTACCTATCCTGAACAAAACTTCGCATTTCCTCTAATAAGTCTCTGACCAGCCCTCTGTGCCTAAAAAAGTATCCTACCAGTCTATCTCACCTATTTCTTATCGACTTCCGTAGAGTCCTCTGTTGTCCTATTCTTTCTAATAGCTCTTCATTTCTAACGTAGCGGCCCTCGCCTATATTAGTATGTATTTCATTCTTTTAATTGTTTTGTACATGTATAGTTGTTGTAAATAATATTTAACTCCCTGTATATATAAGTTCTGTTTTTCTTCAACTTGTAAACATTCTAACGAAGTATCTTTCTACTCACAGCATGTTAAGAGTTTCTTTTCTGTATCTGACTTCCTGCCCTTCGAGCGCATCTATACCTAGCTCACATAAAATATCCTATTTCGTACTAATAAAAACCGATCGACATAAATTTCATTTTTATAAATAAATGCTCCAATTTTCTCTTCAATAAAGAGTTTTCTTTATCGACCATAATGGTCTCCTGAGCTCCTCTATTTCTTCTAAACCCAAGTTGATCCTTCCTAACAGTTCTTCCGCCCTTTTTTCCATCCTTCTCTGTACAATTCCAGTTAAATTTTTTGACGCATGGGAAATTCAGCTAATTTTTCTAAATGTCTCGCACTTATCCGCTTCTCTCTTTCTAGATATAGTTACTACCTCGTTCCGTTTATAATCCACCGAGACTTTCCCCGTCTCGTAAATGTGACTAACTGGCTTAAACATACGATCTCTAACCTCTTGTCCTGCATGTTTTAGAATTTCCGCCTGTACCCCATCTGTACTTGGGACCATCGCCGTTTACTAATGCACATGCCTTAGCGGTCAGAATTGTGGTACAACAAAAGAAAGAGATGGAACGATGTTAACATCGACGTTTACTAATGGACATGCCTTAGCGGTCAGAATTGTGGTACAACAAAAGAAAGAGATGGAACGAAGTTTTGGACAATATCCATCTCTTTCACGATAGTGCGTAAACGTGTCATGAAAAAGATAGCACTAGTCCGAAACCATACGCCATCTCTTTCACTTTTCGAGCCAAGAAATTATTACAACGACATACTGCTAAGGCACGTCCATTAATATATGTCTATGCTTGGGACCTTATTGTTCTTTAAGTTTTTTAATGCTACATCAAATTCGTTATTTGATTATGGGATAACCCAGCTCACATATCTCCACACTACCCGCCTTCTCTAATATATCTCCTAACTCATCGCACGCAATGAGGATTCTCTATGTATTCTTTCCACCTGTTTACCTTTGACTCGTTTATTATATTATTACTACCAAGCTCTTCTTCGTCTGTCCTCTTTGTGTTTCCTCATTTCTTCTATTAGTCCTATAATCTCGTTTGTTACCCAGAGTTTCCTACTTTCGTTTTGTATACATCTGTAGCTGCTGACTTTCGGCACGTTTTAATGCAGTTCCACTCTGCTTCTATGCCCTGTCATTCGTTTCTCTCTCCTCCTTTAGTATTTCATCTGTCCTTGTATCTATACTATCACGCGTTTCTTTAAATTCTAGGTTTTCTCCTACCTTCCCTATTTTTTAGAATTTTCAATTTAAGATTGGTCTTCATAAATACTACGTTATGATCGCTATCTATATTTGATCCTGGATGAGATGAGATCCAATGAGATTTTTTCTGTTTGGTTACATGACTGTCACGTAGAATCAGTAACGCCATGGATTCAGTTCGACAAGTCAATATCCTTAAGGTATGTACTGGTAATAAAATAGGTACTTCAATGTTTGCTTTTTAAAAAGTAATTATTATGGATTATTATAACTTAAATGACAGGAATTAGTTGTAATAATTTTACACCTAATTTTATACACAATATATCCGATCAGTATTCTTGACT